TTAATTCTATCATGCGTTGTGTTATGTATTCATATTCATCCTATGATACATATATACTTAGTAGAACTCTTTTTCTTTCTTTATATCACATGTATTCTCAAACATTTTTCTTTACTTTACGCTCATTTCATCACACAGCACTTGTTTTTGGCATCACGTTTCTACAGTATCCTCACACTAACTTTTAGGAGGGGCGAAAACTAAATTTACATTATTCCCTATAAGGACACAAAAACTTAGAGTAAATAGTGAATGTTACACAGTACAAAGTTTTTATATTATTATCCAGTCACAATCATCATATAATATATATATATATCAGCTTTTCCTATAATCCCTTTAAAAGTCATTCTGACAACGTCATTGCATGACAGTGTAATACATAGAAATTAAACTCAAATGTAAGAAAGAAAACATCTTTGTTTGTAATAACATCTTACCAATATAACCAGAAGCAATCACCTGTTTTGCCCAGAGAGTTCATGAAAAGGTACAAGCTAGAAGAGCCTGTAAGGGAAAAGAGTAAAGTGAGATAGTATTTGAAAGTGGGACCCTAATGCCATGTGATGTGATTATTTGTTAAAGTGTGAAAAGTGATTTTTGATTAGCAGTTTCTTAGAAGGAGGGGGGAGATGAAAGTGAAGTCAAAATGGGGTTGCTTTTTGGATGCTGTGGTTTTCTCTAGAGGCATGCTTTTTGGGTTTTGGGTTAAAAAGAAGTGAAAGTTACAAAGGGAGGATTCTATTCCTTGTTGTGTTGGGTCATTCTTGTGTGTGGATGTTATCCTTTTTGGATGGTTTGGCATAGCACATGAAACCAAATGGGGGAAACTGAAATGTGGGGTGCACCAGATTTTCAGATCAGGATTGTGGACTCTTGGGTGGTGGGTGGTGGGTGGTGGGGTTGTGTGCTGACTCACTCAGTGCTAGGTTTCAATCAAAAAGATGTTCTTTATTTGTTTGCGAATTTCTAGGATTTGGATGAAAACTAAGAAAAACGAAAATTTTAGCTGTTTTAACCATTTTCTTTCATGAATTTTAGAAATAACAATAAGCAAAATGTGTTGTGTGATTAATACTGTTAAATATGTTTCTATTAGTAACTTTCATTAAAAATTATAATTACTCCTGTTCGAAATTTTAATCTAATTTAATTTTCAAATTTTAAAAATACGTAGATTTAATTTTTTAATCAAATTTTAATAAATTTATTTAATGTTTCAAACATATTTTACAATATAATTTAAACTTTTAAAAAACACAACAAAAATAATTAAAGAAAAATACAGACGTCATAATCTAGTAAATAAATCAAGTGAAGATTCTTGATAAAAATATTAATATTTTATAAGAATTAGCATACTCTAAGACACAACAAATATGATCATAAAGTGTTTATATCAGAGTTTCTTTTATATAAATTCAAGAGAACGCCTTAAATAAAATTCAAAATCTAAAACACATAAAAATAACAAAAAAAAATTACAATCATAAACTCTTGCCTAACAAGACCAGTTTATCCAATAAATATAAACTAGTTTGTCCAATAAATTTGTCATTGTGTAAAATTAAAATAAATTTGTAATTTATTTAATTTTTTAAATTATTCAATATCATTGACTTTTACAGATATGTCATTTTATTATTAATATATAATGTTAAAATTGAAAAAAAAAACTAATAATATATATATATATATATATATATATATATATATTAGTAAAATATGCAGGAAAGTAATTATAGTAGTAAAGTGTGGGACAATTAAAAACTTGCTTGCATAATGCTCGAAAACAGTACAATTTATAAGAAAATAATAGTAATCGGATAATGAAATGTATAATTAAACATAGTAATTATATATCTTAAAGTTTACACCAACTATGTTAATTACTTATTAATTTATTGTGTGAGTAGTATGTAGCACTAAAATTGAACTACTAAAAAGGCTTAGGTTTACTTTAGATGTATAAGTATATACTAATATAAACCGGTTTTGTAGATTTTTCGTTGAGGTTAGGTTCTGTTAGAAATGAAAACTTCCTTTTCTAACTCTCTCTTATGACCTGTTTGTTATTATATTTGCTCATTCAACACACACCTAAATTCTCTTCTAGACTATACATTGATAAGATAAGAGATTATAATACTACTTTTATCCCAATATCTCTTAAATAATATATTTGAGATGTTTTTACTATATCGTTGAACTTTTTTATTTTATTTTTAGTTAATGCAAAATTTTAAACTTATATTTAGATTTCTAAACTCCTAACATATGTATATAAAAAGTTGTGTTTTCCACCAAAACCAACTAGTATTAATTTATGAATCACACTTTATGCAATTAAATTTTGATATTTTGCTTGTCTTTTTAAGGTTTAATAGCATCTTTTATTATAAGTTTTGTCAGAATTATTCAATACAATTTCTCAATTATTTTTCATTTTAATATAGCTTTTTTACTGAATTGGTGTTAATGAAAGTGATAATGTAACCGTATAAATAATAAGAATGGAACTAAACTTATAAAATGTGTTGTTATTTATACAACCAATTTAACGAAAATCATATTAATTCTTTTAAGAAAAACAAGAGTACATCAAGAAAAGAAAAATTAAGATACCACATTAAATAATTTCAATAAAAAAAATAAAGATGAAAACGACTATTAAACTACTTTTTTTAATTGTTTTGGGTCAACTTCCAAAGGTTAAATAAAGGGTAAGAAATAGTGCAGAGCTTAATGCTGGGGCCTGGGGGAAAAGGGAAGGTTCTCTACCCTTTCATTGCTGTCCCATGATAATGGTGTACATCTGTTATATCATCTGCTCACAAATCATACCCTACCAAACCATTGCCAATTTTGGGAGCACAAAAAATGCATATTTTCTGATATGATTTATTTATATTCTAAAATAGTTTTATCTTATTTAAAACTAGAATATAAAAAGTAGACTTGAAATGAGAACAAAAAATAAAAAGGAAAAAGAAAAGATAGTTTAGTATCGGTGGTTGGATGGATCTCATATAGAAACATACCAACTATGCACTATGTACTTGTTATTTATTAAGAGATATTATATCAGGTATCAATTAACACGTTTGTCTCTTTCAACTTGATTCAGTATGATGGATAACAACTAATGTTTTTCTGTTTGAGGCAAAGAAAACAAAGGTGGTAGTTAATCCAGTGATTACGATGTTGTATTAGATAACAAAAAATCGTAGAGAAGACATGTTTTATGATCAAGAACTTCGGATTTTTTTCTAAAAAGGTTGATAATAACTTTAAAGAGGGATGAAATCTTAAAGAATTGGTGGGTGTGAAGTGTGTGCATACTGATAATTTTCAATGATATTGTTCAGAAATTATTTGGCAGCTCACTACTGCTAATGTCCATTATTCTAATTAATATTTTTATATCATTTAAAATAATTAATTTATTGAAAATAATCATTAGTATATGTTTAGTGAAGATTTTGAACTTGGGTTGCATCGTTTAAACTTTATTGTCGGTGTTCTGTTTTTCAAAATTAAATTCCAAGACAATCTTTAGACTTCTAGATATGAAAAAGTAACATGACTAGAGAGCATTTGAAAGAGTAGAAAGGAAAAGAAGTGGAAAAAGGGAAAAAAAATATATAATAAAAGTAAAGATGCTTAAGTTAAGAAAAAAGTGAAAAGAACTAAATAGAAAGTTTGGGAATGATTTGAAACCTTTTTATTTTTTTGTTTATGTTTAATCTTTTGATAATATTAAGATATTAGCTATCATTTTTTATTTAATCTTCCAAATACAATTTAAACATAAACATTTAAGTATCTTGATCATTGCTAGCGAAAAATTGTGAAGAGGTTGTAAAAGCGTGTTTAGAGGTTGTAAAAGCGAAAAATTGGCACAGAGCTTGAAGAGGTTTGTGAGAAAAAAACTACGTAGGGATAGAGTGTGGAGAAGATTGTATACAGAACAATTGTATTTACAATTGATTATAGTGAAAATATCCCCATCCTTGCATCAAGCATGGCATAGTTTGAAAGTAAACAAAGACGTATATCCTCCTATATTTCTCGTATCCATGTTTTCTTTGTCTAACTAGTGTGCTGATTTTGTGAACAAAATTTTTGAACCAATTTAAAGAATATTTTTATTAAACGCCTATTCATTGGTATTGTACCTTAATCTTTCCAAAAACTCATACGGTTGGAATTTTTTTAAGGAAAATGTTTTTTTAACTGTTCTTGAACACTCTTCTGAAACACTTCTCTGCCATCTCATGTTTCCCGTGTATTTTCAACACAATTTCATCAATGCAATGCAATACGCACTTGACAGTCTACTAAATAAAATGTTTTCCAGTCTCTTATCTTATGAATATTAATAAATGTATATTTTTTTCTTTATATTAATAAAATAATACAGTTCAATGCAAATAACCTTGGGATCTTACACTAAAAATATATACATTTCATGACTGTTGCATGCAATGAATGAGTCTTAATTATTCACCTTGGATCCGTGAAAGTAAAATGTTTAAGGTCGAGGGGTTGAAAGATACTTACAAATAATAATAATTAAGAAGTTGGACTTTTTAATAAATTTGACAACTTGAAGTTGGATTCTCGATGAGCCAATTCAAACTGAAAGGTCTAACGTGCAGAAGAAATTACCATCTTGTAACAGATCACCGACTGAAGCCAGCTTAGCTCACCATATAATTATAGTATTAGCTAAAATGCGTCGAAATTTCTTCAGCTGGAATTGTTTAAACTTACCAAACATCACACGTTGACTTGTGTAAATTTACGCTGTTCAACATAATTTTGCATGTTCAGAGTTGCGTAGAGTTTTGAACCATGACAATTTCTTCGATTGACCTACAACGAAGGCGCTTAAATACATTTTAGCCTATTTATTAGTTAAAACTCTTAATTTCCATACACTGAAATGAGCTCTATAAAGATAAAGGAATCACATACATGTTTCACAAACGCCGATCAAGAGAGCTGACAATTTTGAGATTACATTTCATTAATCTTTAGGGGAGAAAGTTACATAAAATCAAATATATCAATCGTCTAAAGGATACCAAATTGCATTCAACAACACTATAACTTTAGACAGCAAGACCGAGCGACTACCTCCGAAAAAATACCAAGAAAGCACCTCAAGTACCCAACATGACACGACTCTCATCGCCTTGAGAGGCAAAATTTGACTTTCACATTCATACAGGAATATTTTGTACTAATGTACATAAACCACCTAGGTAAAAAAAAGGTAGAAAGAAATGAAGCCACTGAATCGACTTCAAACTTAAGCCAAAAAGTGGTCCAGATGCTCCAACCATACCTCATTCGAAGGAATGAAACGTTAAAACTGCACCAGTAATTATGGAAGGCTGGGGAAAACGAACGGTTTTGTGCATCACCTTAATGACCCCTGATCATTGAGCTTCACAATTCACGAGGAAAATTATTGACTTGTCCTTCCTCTAGTGTATCCTTGCCATTTATCTTGTACGCTATCCTTGTACGCATGACAAGCGATTTCTGAAAAAAAGAATAATTGCTAGCAATCAAGTCTTCACTAAGAAGCACTTACATGTATAAATTATTTGGGAAAATAATATCAGCAAGTGTAAACCATAATCATACTCACAAAGCACAAACAGAGAAAAGGAGGGGATGGAGGAGTCTAAATCATTATAAGGTGGAGTGGCCAACCCCAAAAATGGTATGGCAGATAGAAAATTGCGGTATAGCCACCATTGACATATTAAAGTACAACTAACAACATAATCGCTTATGCTACATAATTGCACAACAGTTAAAACTAATTCAATATATTAATTATTATTAATAACTGAAAGTAAGTCCAGATAATGTACACGAGTAAGGGTCGTCATATCCACACTCGCAAGGCACAAACATAAAAGGAGGGTTTGGGGAATCCATGGTTGTAAATCCCAGATAAAGCCATGGAGTGCAAACCCCAAAATTGGCTAATAGCAGGATAGGAACAATGACAGATTACAGTACAACTCAAGATAAATCAATTAGGATACATAATTGAACACCAGAAGAAAAGAAAAAAGAAAAAAAAAAAAACTAACCCAATATTATTAATAACCTAAAGTATGTCCAGACGATAAACAACAAAGAAAATGTGATTTACTGTATAATGCCTACTGAAAGTTCCAGTGCTTGTGCAATGTGAAGTAAACTAATTATATTGGAGTTCAATCCTACACACTATCCTGGTTGACTTTGATGACCAATCTGAACAGTAGTGATCAATCAACAACCCACATGCTCAAATTATAAGCATTTTTGCAGCATGTAATATCAAATATTAACATAAAGCATAAACTAGCAGTTTTGTAGCAACATGTCAGTGATCAACATTTCGTTTAGAATTTAAGCCATAAAAAGGCACAGATAATTACGGCAAAGCAATAACAAAGGAAAAAAAAGACCATCTACCTTCCCATGTTGGCTGTTAGTAATTTTCAAATTTTGGGTTATATTTCCAGCTGCGGGAAGAGTATTACTGGTAGCTGGATCTAAGTGCAATTGAAGAAACTGAAAGTCAACAACAAAATACGTAAGTACTAGATGATGGAAGGTAACCAAGCACCATTATCAAATATTGAAGAATAAATGTAATTATTTACCACTCAATAGCTCAGATAACTAATAAAAATTATCGAGCTATTGACCGCTGCAAACACTTTTATTGCTATAATCCATCTATTGAGAGAAACAAACAACAGGCATGGGACTTCAAATTTCCATTTAAACAATGAAGATCATGATATTGCTTGTTGGAAATTGGAGCATTGAATGTTTGTAATTGTTAGATGTTCCGCATTCAGTTTATCATATTTCTGTTATTAAAGCTAATAGATGTAACATGCTTAAGCCCATCTCTTTATATTTTCTTATTTATAAATACATAACCCTATGTGTTCCATATACATTAGGGATTCAACCCATGTCTCTTTCTCTTTTATTTCAACAATTATCTTTACAAAGTACATCAATCAGTGTTTAGAATAGTTCAATGGTCCTAAGAAAGTTGTGAATGTTTTAATTGTTCTCTTGAAAATAGTTTTTGTTATTTATTATCTTTGTAATAATTATTATAAAATAAATCAATTTACTTAGTGGAATAGGCACTTCACAAAATTTCCTTTCTCATTTTCTCACATGGTTTCTGCTAGTTATATGGATATTTTGGGTTTGGACTTGGACCTATCCCTATGCGACACCTTGCATGATATATGTATAAATGTTCCTCCGTTGTGCTCATACACACTAGAGGATTCTATTACATGAATGCATATAATTTCTCTATTGTATTAGAGTTTATCCTAATAAAGTTTGTTGAACCTATTGTGTCACTCATTATCAAGTTTCTATCAAACTACCCACAAATATCTAATCTCAAGCTTGAGATATTCAATCCTCAACATGAAAGAATATGTTACAGATCCCACATCAATATGTGTGCACACACACACACACACACACACATATATATATATATATAAATCAAACTACCCACAAATATCTAATCTCAAACTTGGAGATATTCAATCCTCAACATGAAAGAATATGTTAGAAATCCCACATCAATATATATATGTGTGTGTGTGTATAAAGTGGGTACAAACCTCACATTGCAAGTTAATTTCATAAGGTTGATTCAGACCTAAATCTACTTTCTAAGATGGTATCAAGTTTTTATTTGAATCCATGCCCTCCCAATGGACCCACTGTTCATTGGTGCTAATTTTTTCTCCAAAAAATGCATCACTCCAATTTTTAGCTACTCGTATTTCTGCTGTGCATTTTTTTTCCAACTAGTTTTCACTCTTCCTTATGTTGCTACCGCCACATTAGCTTGGTTATCACAAATGAAAGTCATTTGTATAGCTTCCCAAATCTTAGTTCTTTAAACAATTGTTTGAGGTAAACAAACTCACAAGAGGTAAAAGTCATTGCTTTGTTACAGAAGTTCTTGCCACCACACTATGCTTTCTTGAAGGACTGGAGTTTGGGACTAATGATTGGCAAAGGATGTAAGTCCCACTGTCTCTATCAGTTTCAGACATCTACTCTTGTTGGCTTGGGGTGGCACCCTTCTCTCATCCAATCCATGTTCAATTAGGTCATTCTAGCCTTGCAAGCTGCAACACCTTGTACTACGTCTATCTAAGTTGTCCATCTTGTTGTGTGAGTTGTGTCAAATAAGAAAACATAGCCGTAGTTCTATATCCAGGAGTGTCCCCAAAAATTTTTTTATCACCTTTTTTGATTTAGTAAGCTTGGATATTTGGCACCTTAGACACACTTCAAGATTTCAATATTATGTAACTTTCATTGATGACTATGTTGTACTTGGTTGTTCTTAATGAAGTTGAGTTGTTTTCCATATTTCAATCCTTTTATAATGAAGTTAAAAATTAGTTTAGTGTTTGTATTTGAACTTTATACAGTGATAATGCCTGTGATTATCACATTCTTCTCAGACATTCATGACTTCCCATGATATTATTCGTTAAACTCATGTACATACACACCCCTCAACAAAATGGGGTGGTAGAGCACAATAATAGATTCCTTAATGAAACAACTTAAACTCTTTTACTTCATGATTCTGTTTCTTCACGATTTTGGGATGATATGATTTTAATGGCATGCTATCTCATCAATCAATTGTCATTCAATATTCTCAACAAGCAAGTTCTTCACTAATTTTGTTTCTCCACTCATTAACTCCTCATGTCTTCAGGTCCACCTGTTTTGTTCACAATCCCAGTCCTTTACTTGATAAATTGTTAACTAGGTCTCATAAGTATCTTCTTAGGTTACCCTTAGTCTCAAAAAAGGATATAAATGTTTCTCACCCTCCCTTTGTTGCTATTTGATTTTAGCTTATGTCAGCTTCAATTAAGAATGTTTCAATTAAGCCATTAAGAGGGTATAATTCATGAACATCTAGTCAAAACATCTCAACAAAAATAATATTGTAGAAAGAAAACTCGACATCTCCTAGACTAAACTAGTGACCTATTGTTCCAAAAAAAATTGGGCTAATTAGGTTACCCTCTAGAATCTTGGGGTTCAAGAGTCCTATGGATATCATTTCTTCTTTCTATCCTAGTTTTTCCACTAATAATAAACTTTACACCAGTGGTCTTCGAGTGTGTCTCATTTGTTCAAGTTCATAGTCATGGTAGGAAAAAATTCAATCCTTGAGTCCTAAAATGTGTTTTTGTTGGCTACTCCTTTACTCAGAGATATAATATAAGAGTTACCATCTTCCTCCTAGAAAGTTGTTTCTCCGTTTATAAAGATCTTAAGGTTTTTCCAAACAATCTTATCTTCAGGGGGAGAATATGCAACAAGATAAGGAAGCTTAATTTGAAACTCTCATTCTTCCTAGCCTTGAGTTTAGCATTCTAGTGGTTGAGTAAAAATTATATCTTTTCCTTCCTGATAACTAAAAAAGATACTAAAGTTAATGAAGGAAGACTAAAGGTCACTCTATTGACACATGTTCAAGAGCTCAATTCAATTCCTTCACATCAAGTAACAAATTCTGAACTTCCTATTTTAATAATTATAATATTCTTAACTTCCACGATAATGATAAAAATGGCACTAAAGCCCAATCAATTGACAAGATCTATATCTTTCAATTGCCTTCAAAAAAGGAACTAGAAAATGCAATGAAAAGCCATTCTATTCTCTCTTAAATGATGTCTCAAAATTTGTCACCCACCCATAAAATATTTTGTGCAAACCTAAACTCTATCTCAATTAACACTAATGTTTTTTAGGCATCATATAATAAAGTTTGGAAGCCATCTATGATTGCGGAAATGGAAGAATTGGAAAAGAACAAAACATGGAAGTTGGTCTATCTGCCAAGAGAAAATGGTTGGAAGCGGGATAAAGTGTACGGTAAATGGGTTAATTGAGAGATAAAAAAGCGAGATTGGTTGCTGAGTTTCACTCAAACCTATGGGATAGTGATATGATCTTGAAAAGTGTTTTGAATTTTCTTTCTAATTTTTATCTTTTAATTAAATATAAAAAATAATGATTCATATAATGGGAATTACATGCAACACAAGTGGATATTAGTATTAGTTATTGAGAATTAATGTGGAATGTAGAGGGGTCTTGTCTAATTTATCCTAGAAAAGGATACACTTGTAATACACATCATATATGAATTCTATCAGAAAAATTGAGTTTTCTCTTTGTGAGAATTTTTTTTGGGTGTTCTGCATTATAAGAACCCCAACTTTTTATCTTGTCAGGGTAATATGTGACAATCATCCCCGTGACTCACCTTCTCATCTCTCTTGAGTGTGGTGTCAATATCCTTTCCCAAATTGAAAATCATAACGGTCCTACCCCTGGTTTCTCATTAGATAGATTACTAAAAGACGTTTGCTCCAATTACAAACATGAATGTCGTTAGGGTAATATTATGTCTTGTACAATTATGGTCAAGAATTACAACAATTTACAAGACCTTGAGGAATAAATATATATGGAGGTCCCCACCAAGATATGAAACTTGATGTGAAGGATATGTTTTCATGCATGGAGAGATTGAGGAATAAATCTAAATGGAGGTCCCATCAAGATATGAAATTGTAAATTGTCGCCCATCATTTTATAAGTTAAAAAAATCCACTCGAGCATGGTTTGGGAGATTTTTTAAGACCATGACAACTTTAGGATACAAAGTCAGACAATTTATTCATCAAACACTCGTACTCAATTGGAGTGACTATCTTGTTAGTATGTGTAGAGGACATTATTTCTAATGATTGGAAAGAACAACTTCTGAATCAACATCTACCAAACGTGTTTGTGGTACTTGGATGGTTGAAATACTTTTATGGGGATTGAAGTGGCCTACTCCAAAAGAAATATTTTCATATGTTACCACAATAAGTCACTGATTTGCTTAAGGTGATAGGTTTGGAAACTTGTAAACCTACAAGTATTCCCATGGGTTAGAGCTTTAAATTGGGTAATGCAAATGGTAGTGTAGTAGTTGATAAAGAGATGCATAAACGTTTGGACCAAAAATTAATTCACTTGCCCCACACAAGGCCAAATATTGCATTTGTTGTTAATTTGGCTAGCCAATGCATGCACTGTCCAAGAGAGGTCAACTTCCAGACCACATACCTAATTTTATTGTTAGATGTTAAGTTGTGTATTTATGTTAATTGGGCTTAGCCCATTCTGTATTTAGGGTTTAACCCTTATCTTACATTATAAATAAACTACCCTATGTGTATGCTAAACACATAAGGGAGATTTCTCCTAATCTTCTCTATTATTTCACATGGTATCTAGAGCA